CCTTTAGGAGATGCTTCCAATTCGAGAACTGAAGCGAGACTGAATTTCTTCACCGATTGTTCGGCTTTTATACCTTTCTAGAGAGAACGGAAAAATTATTTAAATTAAACGCAAATTTTTCGTAAATGGCCAAAAGGAAAGAGTATTTATGTGGAATTATCGAAGTAGAAACAACAGACCGGTAGCAAATTTGAATATAATTGTCATGACGACCAGATAAACAACGATGTCAAAACATGTCAAATTTTGGTTTTAGGCTCGTAATAGAAAAACGGCAAGATTTAAGTGAAAAATGAGATATTATTGATATAGGAAAAAAGGTAGCGCACCTGTGCACACAAAGTCCGAAATTGCAGAGTTACGGAAAACTAAATAAAAGATCGAAAAAGGTAGACTCCATTGACACCAATTTAAAAGTGCTGATAATGTGAAAATACGAAGTAGAAATGATTTGTTATTGTGTTCTTATGGTTTAAAATCGTTACAGGATCCTATGGAAATAAAGGCGATGTAAAATATACAGTTTTGAGGTGAATGCAGAAAATCGAAACAGAATGGAAAAATGAATTTAAAATAATGTAAAATGATATGTAAGTAGCATAACACTACATACCTTTCATGGGTAAGTTTGTTTTGTGCTTACATTTGCTACTTGTACTGATTAATATCTATTGTTTTGAATATAAAGTGTAACATTTCATGTTTTTAATGAACTTTGTGATGTATTTTGTCAAATATTTGGACTCCCAAATTGTAAATTCTTCATGATAATGCTCCTTAATTTGAACGGTCATTCGAAAGCTTAAAGTCATAACAAACGTTTACTTTTTGATTTGGTAGGATTATAGAAACTTAGGGATATCAGCGAGTACAATAATGTTTTCGCATTGTTCAATAATAATTGTTATTGTGATTAGTAGTTATGTCCATAAATATGAATCACATAATATTATACATATACATACACTTTTATGTTCAGCTTTAAAGGAAACTCCTTATTGCCCTACAAATCTTCAATCATTTTCCATATTACATAGACGTCACAAATAATATGTAAGTATCAACCTGAAAACATGTTTCGATTTAAGTACATAAATATTGGGCAAAGTATATTTAATTTCACAAAATATGTATTGCCTGAAATCAGATGCACAAAACTTTATTGCATTCCATTAATTCTATTATACATTAGCAACAATTACATTACAATATTTATTAAAAAAATATGTCATGCTAATATAAAAATAAATATAAATATAGATAAAATAATAAATGAATAAATAAGTCTTAATCTTAAGGTACACAATAACACAACAACATAAGATAATATTCTCAATTAATGATGTAGAAAAAATTTGATGATAATATACTTACCGTTACCATTAGTCAGTATCAAAAGTTATAGGTTTTGTGATAGTTGCCTAGCTTGGCAGGAGAATTGGCAACTGCAGTTATTTGGAGACAAACTGTGTGGGAGGTCTATGTTCAGCGGTGGCGGACATTTGTTAAGCTGTAAATTTATTAATTAACAATATCTAAAGCTTAATATGTACATAATTTTTTTAAATGTTTGGTATGAATAATATTATCATTACATTTACATATACTTGCTATTTAATTAAATCAATTGATATTGGTTTACTTGTTACAGGTATTGTATTTATGCACAGATACACATACTTGATTTTTTTTGTTAAATACCTTGATATAAAAGTGTACTACATATTTAATATACAAATTTCTTTTAAATATATTATTTCGCAGCTTTCCTAAGGAATCGGCTATCCGTAACAGTTGGATAATCGCTACTGGTAGTGCTTATAGGCTTCCTTTCGAAGGTCTGTGTTCAGCACTGAACTTGTGATGGAATGGTATGTTAAAACATTATTGATTTTTTTTTTGTAAGACCAACATAACTCGACACAAGGAAATTTTTGTTTATTATTTAATATTTTTACAAGTACATAGATAACATATTGTTATTTATTAGCGATATCACACTTTGTGCTATTAGCGCCTTCACTTAGTGCCGTCGAAATCCAAAGAGTTTATTGAATGTCCAGTAAAATCGTCGATGCGCCGTTGAATACAGAATGATGATTCTGTTTTTACGCCGTTTCCGCCCGTAGTTTTTGTCACAGAATGTATTTTCAAGAGAAATTAATATTAATCATCTGAATTATAAAAGATTATTTTTTTATGATAACAATTAAGTTTTTTGTATGAATGTAAGTGCTGCGAATATAAATAAACCCATAACGGGGGAAATGGAACAATATCTGGTAACCCATGGAAAGTACCTCCCGTCTATTTCTATCTCAAAAGCATACGCGAATGCTTTATCTAGTCAATCCTCTATCTACGTCTGAAGTCTGAGAGTCTGAAGTAAAACTAGTTTGTGGTCTGAAGTCTGAGAACGCGTAATGCTTTTCTCTATGGTGTAGTGCTTCTATATCACAGAGTAATTTTTATCTATATAGTTTGTGCTGTTATTTTTTTAAACTGGCTTTACTGCTCTGGGTTCTAGCCCTTCTGAGCCTTTTGTGCCGTTAGCTTGCTACCTAGCACAGAGTACCTTAGTATAACTACTCAGTGTTGCCAGATGTACGATTTAAATCGTATTCATACGACTTTTAAGAGTTATATGCATGTACGATCGAAACATAAAAATCGTACGCAATTCATATGACTTTTCACATTTTTTTAAAATATAACCGTATTAACTACTTAACCATTCGATTCCAACCAGTGATGGTAGGGGATTTCCCTGACGTTAAAATATTAATCAAATCAAACTCGACCAATTTATGAATCGCTTAGGCACATTACTATAATATTTTGTATGTGACGGTAACCACATCTCTAGTACTCGTAGGGAATTTCCCTTACGTTGAAATATTAATCAAACCCGACCAATTGAAGAATCGCTTCTATTTTTTTGTTTGTTTACAAGTAAATTAGTGAATACAATAGAATACGTAACTCGGCAGTATTACATAATATTGGTAAGCATGCGTTTTGTTTGTTTACTTTTCTTCAAAGATCTTTTCTCGTCGTTCTTGAGAACAGTTATCAACAGTTTAATACTTGTTTGATAGCACGTATTTGATTGAAAATATCAATAGTTTCTTGTTCCTTATGGAGGATGAACATCTAACAGCAGGGCCGAATCGCCCAGTCCTAGTAGTTTATATTGAAATAATAAAACTAATAATTTTGAGTTCTTCTACTATACTTTTGAGTTCTATTGTATTCACTAATTCTCAATTTTTGTATAATTTAACAAAACAAAGTTTAAAAAACGTATGTACTATTTTTATTTAATGACCTTCTTAGGGAATACGACTATTTATTTACCCCTCGTACGATCGTTTATACAAAATGTCTGGCAAGTGGTAACACTGATCCCTAAACTACCTAGTACCCACAGAGTACATTGTATATACTATATACATGAAACTAGTACCTAGTACCTACATCTACATATATATTTATCTATGACCTACATACAGTGTGACCATATGTAGCAGGTTCCTGCCATTTTTGCAGGATTGGCCTCTTATTTTAGCCTCTGGCATGATCGGTTGACGTTTTATAAAACCTGGCAGTATTTGGCAGTATTGGGGTATTAAAATTAGATTTAATTATGGCAACTTAAAATGCCGAAAATGGCAAAACGAGCTACGTTGCCAGCATGTGGGGAATTTTCCTATACTTCTAGTGTTATATTTGTATCACATTCAATAAACAACTTTGAAAGTTCCTGTGTAAAGTTGATAATCTTAAAACGAGTATTCATAAACACGAGTTTATTGTTAATATTTCAATCAGTCAAAGACGAGACGTACCGTATTTTGATATTATGGTTGTAGCACGAATGGGTCGGCTCGACCGGGATAGGACCACACTCTCATAGAATATCAGCTTAATGTTGCTGTGTTTCGTAGGGTGGCCCTTTTTACTGAAAATGAGGCATTCCATCATAGTCCTCAGGGGTGACAACACGTCTGCATTTTGATTCTTAATTGAAGATAAATGTAGATGTTTACGGACTGCAGCATTCACTTACCATCAGGTGGACTGTGTGCTTGTTTATCACCCTTTTTCTATATAAAAAAACAGCAAATTGGCAGCCCGGCTGTCCGCTTTAAAAGAGCATGCCGCTACTAGTAAAAATCAAAAAAATATGAGTGGATTCAGCATGTGATAGAATATTCTCTCAAATAAATTTAATTACGACAAAATACAAAACATTAAACAAGGCATTGGTGATCATTGCGATTGCATTGCATCTAACCAGCGAAAGATATGTTTAATTTTAATTTAATAATAATATAGCATTTAAATGTGTATTTTCTTTTTCTTAATTTAATACAATTATACAATGGTAGATAAAGTTGGCAGTATTTAGACATTTTTCACTACCTACCTTGGCAGGATTTGGCAGGTTTTTAAGCAAAGTAAGGCAGGATTTGGCAGGTTTTTAAGCAAAGTAAGGCAGGATCTGTATTTTAAAGATGGTCACACTGCCTACATATTTATTTAACTACTAGGAGTTTTGGCGGGAAATTGACCGGCGGCGGTTTGCTGCTCTTGTACATACAACTTTATAATTTGTGTTTGCTGCTCCTGTATTATTGTTTAAATAATGGTTTGAAGTGGACTTTGATATGTAAAAGTATTGCGATTTTGTGTATTAAGTGTCTACGCATGTGAACTATTAGTGGAAACAGTGAAACAAGTGCTCTGATGGTGATGGATTCTCAAGATAAGCTGTTTGTTTGCATAGGCACCTTTAGATACCATCGCCAACTATCAGCTGTCTGCTGGATCAAGTTGCCGCCAAAATCTCCCAAGAACTGCACAATGTGACGCATCAACATATTGTGAAGCAGTATACTATGAAGGAGTAGGAAAATTACAATAAACCGAATAAAAATACTTAAGACTTGGCCTAAAGGTCTAGATACCAGGCCATAAACTCCAAAAAAAAAATATTTAACTACTACAATGGATAATAATGCGAGTAATTTGTTAAATTTTAAAAATACTTGTCGCATATGCCTAAAAGCCAAGTCTTGTACAATAGATTTATTTTCTAAACAAGAACAGTCAAAAAATGTATTGCACAAAATATTTATATGTTTTCAGATTAAACTCGCGCAAAAAAAATATTTACCGTCGTTAATTTGTACAGAATGTGTAGAAGAACTGAATGTTACTTGGCAATTTCGTGAAAAATGTTTGACGTCCGAAGAAAAGTTTGCAGTACCCACTAAAAATCTTTTAGAAAGTTGCATCTTACCAATAAATGACAATTTTTCAGTAAGAGACGGAAATGTAAACAGAATCAAAGAGGTTCTAAGAACACAAGATAGCGCTGAGAGAATAGATTTAGACAAAGAGAGTGATAAATCTGGTAATTAACAAAATATTAGTACCTATGTTTTACTTTAAATAAGATTTATTTTAAAAGTTTTAGGCAAACTAAAATTTAATTATAATTCATACATTTATGACAACTCTATTTTTTTTAGAATCTGCATTATCCATTACTGGTAAAATAACAAAGATTGAGCTAAACTGCACCAGTTGTAATAAAACTCTTAAATCTGAAGCATCATTAATGAGGCATCAAATTTCTATGCATCAAAAAAGGAAACATTTAGGTAAAGTGACAGGGTTTGGGTCTACTCGTCGATATCACTGTACAAAATGTCCATATGCTACCCCCCACAGTCAGACTTTAATTAATCATATGAGAAGGCATAATGGAGAACGTCCATATCATTGTGACTGTGGAAAAAGTTTTACTCAATCTTCTAGTCTAGCTGCACATCGCAAGACTCACAGTACAATCACATATTACACCTGTTCAGTATGTGGTAAGCAATTCAAACATGCATTTAGTTTGAAGACACACTTACATGTCCATGAAATTGGTAAATTTCCTTGTAGCATCTGTAAAAAATTGCTTAAATCAAAACCATCATATCAAGCACACATGCAAAGACATAATAACATACACAATTATAGTTGTGAAGACTGTGGAAGAACATTTGTAACATGTTCAGAATTAATAAATCATAAGAAAAAGCATAATGTAGTGAAAAAAATTGAGTGTCAACTGTGTGGATATAAAACACATGCAAAGAAAAATTTAAATATTCATCTAAAACGGTAATTTTTTTATATTTAATAAATACTTCTAAAACTTAATCATGATGATTTAGATATACTTTTTTATTTGCGTAGCAGAGCCGTGCTGCAGCTTCATTAGTAGTATAGTTTTAACACAAATGAGTCGGTTTGAATGGGGGAAGGACCACACCCACATAAAATATTAATGTAAAATATCAGCTTAATGCTGCTGTGTTTCGTATGTTGAGTGTAAAGAACCGGAGACCCTTTTTTCTGGAAACAAAGCATTCCATCTTAGTTCTCAAGGGGGACAACGTGACTGCATTTTGATTAATAATCAAGGATATATTTAGATGTCTATGGGCCACAGTAACCAGTTTCCACCAGGTGGACTGTGTGCTCATCTGTCACACTTATCCTATAAAAAAAAAATACAATTTATGCTTTCTTGTATTTACATGAATAGACCTATAATAAAACTAATTTTATGGATTTTATTGTGGTTAATTAAAATAAGTGTGTAATTAATTAAAATAACCTTTGTGCTGAGGATGTGTGCTCCAGAGTTGGCACCGGTCCTAACACATTTTTTCCGGTACTCCTACTCCGAAGGCGTAGTCCCAAATTCATGGAAGACAGCTTTTGTCCACCCGATCCCTAAAAAAGGCGACCGCTCAGATCCATCCAACTACAGGCCTATCGCCATCACCTCCTTGTTCTCCAAAATAATGGAATCCATTATTAACTGCCAGCTCATGCGGCACCAGTTGATTAGTGACCGCCAATACGGTTTTCGTCGGGGTCGATCAGCTGGTGATCTTCTGGTCTACCTGACCCATAGATGGGCGGAGGCAGTAGAGTCCAAGGGGGAGGCGTTGGCCGTTAGTTTGGACATTGCGAAGGCCTTCGATCTGGTTTGGCACAAAGAGCTTCTTTTAAAGCTACCTTCCTATGGGCTTCCCGAGAAATTTAGCAATTGGATCTTCCTTGCAGATCGCAGCATCAAGGTCGTTGTAGACAGTGCATGCTCCGACTACAAATCTATCAACGCTGGTATTCCACAAGACTGTATGCTATCACCAACGCTGTTTCTTCTGCATATCAATGATATGTTGCTAACTGGTAACATTCATTGCTATGCGGATGACAGCACTGGTGATGCTCTATACACCAGCCGTGCCAATATTTCTCGGGAAAACGTCGCCGAGTACTGGGACAAACTTGTGTCTGAAGTCGAGTCTTTGCTGAACAAAGTCTCGGATTGGGGGCGACTAAATCTAGTCCAGTTCAATTCCCAGAAGACACAAATTTGCGCGATTACCGCTAAAAAGAACCCCTTTGTCCTATCTCCTCAGTTTCAAGGCACTCCCCTTGCTGCCTCAGCTAGCATCAGAATCCTCGGCGTCGACATATCGAATAGTTTGCAGTTTCGTGGTCACTTGGAAGAGAAGGCCAAATTGGCCTCTAAAAAGCTTGGCGTGCTCAGCTAAGCCGGACAGTATTTCATGCCTGCAAATTTACAAGACGCAGGTTCGGCCTCACATTGAATACTGTTCCCATCTCTGGGCTGGGGCTCCTCAGTGCCAGCTCCTTCCACTTGACCGCATCCAGCACAGAGCGGCTCGAATCGTCGACGACTGAGTCTTTCCGATCGGCTCGATTCATTGGCACTGTGAAGAGATGTTGCATCCCTTTGCATTTTCTTTCGCATTTACCACAGGGAGTACTCTGAGGAATTGTTCAGATTAATCACAGCCGCCAAATTTTACGAACACACATCGTGGTAGTGCGTGGCGTGCATCTGGATGTTTAGCGGTCCACCATTGTGCAATTTAGAAGATGTTTTCTTCTTCGCACGACTTCCTTGTGGTATTGATTACCATCAGTGATTTTTCTGGACCGATACGACTTAGGGACCTTCAAGAAAAGAGACTACTCCTCTTAAAAGGCCGGCAACGCATCTGCAATTCCCCTGGTGTTGCAGTTGTTCATGGGCGGCGGTAGTCACCTGCCATCAGATGCTTGCTCGTTTGCCCCCTCTCCTATAAAAAAAAATAAGTAAAAATATGTTCAATTAAACACATTAAAATCCATAAAATCAGTTCTATCGTTTTTATGTGGTAGAACCATGTAGCATGAATGGATTGGCTCAACTGGGAAAGAACTTGTTCACATAATACTAGTATAAAACTGCTGGTTCTAATGATGAGTGTAAAGTATTGGAACCCCTTTTAACTGATAATCAATATATATAATAGATATAAAAATATATAAAGCTCTAATGTACTGCTACCAAATATATGCTGGAGTTACAAAATACTATATAGAAGTTTTGAAGTCAGTGGAAATGCTTGCTGGTGGTCATGCTAAGTTGCTTATTCATTATAGCTAAACTACTATTTGCTGATCAGTCAGTCTCGAGCACAACCACAAATTAGCTGGCCTTTCGGTATTCTACATTTTGCAGTGTGGAAATCAGACAATTAGCGAATTTTCACTCTTTCTTAGTTAACTACCATGAATTTGAGTCAAAACTTTACTTCACACAAAAGTGAAATAATTTGCTTCAGCACTACATTCATATAATTTACCAGACTTAGAATATGCTTTGTTTTTTTCAAGTGATGGCACACCATTTTATATAATTTATTATATATTTCAATAAATAAAAAAATATATATACTATAATATTTTGGACTTTAGGTATAGACAAGGGTGTAAAGTCCTCAGTAGCTTGGCTTTTACATTGATACTAGTACCATCTCACAGTCATTAAAAGAACTATTTCCCCTATATTTTTACACATTTTATTAAAAAGGATTATTATTTATACTGAAGCCTAAATCATAATCATATTTTAGTTGTTAATTTCTCAGTATTCCTGTTAGGTACGGTAAAACTAATATTACTTTTGTAATTTATGAAATACTTGTCGATTTATTCCTTATAACCCATAAGGAATGAGTCGACAAGTATTTCATTAAGTTACACCACAATTGGTTGGCCCATTCTCCATACAAAAAGAAATTGTCTTGTTTTGTCTTTAAAGTTCCTTTATTGATCCTGTCACATTGCTATAATGGGAAAAGTAATATAATTATAGATATTTAAATGTTTCAGACATGCTGGGGAAAAGTCATTTAAATGTGAATTATGTGATTTATCATTTTATACAAAAGGCGATCTTCAAAGACATAAAAGAGTTCATACACGTGATAAACCATTCTCATGTTCGACTTGTGGTCAACGATTCACTCATAGTCCTAGTTTGAATAAACACATGCAAAGTGTTCATGGTATGAATTACAAATGGGCAGATGTTAAGTGGAAAGAATCAAGGAAAATTAAATTGGTTGTGGTTACCGAAAAGAAATAATATAAAATACATCAATACTTTTATTGAATCTAAGAAGTTTTATTTAACACTATACTAATTAGATATTGTAAAAACTATTTCAATTAATAGTTATATACTGAATATTGAGAAACATTTGAAGTCATACATGGTGAAATAATTTAAATGATTAATGATTATTTAATACTTCCTTACTTGCTAACCAAATATTTTTAATATTTCTGACACACAACTATTTAATGTCAATGTGTTAAAAATTCAATATAAACCTTTCAGTAAACAAATATTAAAGAATTGTCTTTAAAATTGACATTTACTAAAAGATTTTATTACAATGTCATGTAAAACTGAAATATAACCCTATTAATGATAACTCAACATACATGAATAATTAAAACTATATAATATCTAATCCTCTTCATAGTCTTCATCGTCAGAAATGTACTTGCGTTGCTTGCGTTTTCTCGTGGGTGTGTTCTTGCTTTTACCTTTCAACTTAATTTTCATTTTAACCGAGCGATTTGATTCTCCATCAGAGTCGTCATCGTCTAAAAAAAACATGTCGGCATTAATTTTTGCTGTAATTACATTATTTTTAGGTTGTTAAAATGTGACAAGCCATTGGCACATTAGATAACGTTAAAGCGCAAAACTGCCTTGCACCTTAAATTGCCCCCAAACAGCTTTTTTGTGCTTGCAGGAAATTTAATGCTTCAATAAAGAGCGCATATAGAGTAGTTGTGAGTTGTGAGTAGTTAATATTTATACTAATCGATACTAGGTTATTGTATAATATCTACCTGGGGTGGGGCTACTAAAACAGTCTTTATGCAAATTGAACGTGCCCAGAGAGCTTTAATAAAGGTCTGTTCTTTTAAACCTCGGTTATATTCTACAGAACTACTTTATGAGCATTGCCAAGTGTTGACTGTACCGCAACTTTTTATATTGTATACAGCTCTAAAACTAAATATAATAAGAATGCTGCACGACACAATCATCTTGTCGCTAAATCGATTCCTCTTAATACCTATTTCAGTCATAAATTTTTTGTATTCCTTAGCCCTAACCTTCATAATAAATTGCATCAGAAATTATTCCTACACTCATTAAATCACTTTAAATTTAAACGCACTCTGAACAAATGGCTTTTAAATAAATTTTGGACGGAAATAGAATGTCTTCTTGATATTCTAAAATAAACTTTCTATTGTATTCTTCATATATTCACACACACATACGCACGCACGCACGCACACACATACACACACACATACACATACGTGCACGCGCACGCACTCATAAATTCTCGCACCCACATCTATATTTATAATTTTTTATCTTAAAAGCTTAATAATTATTGGTAACTAAGGTGGAGGGCTGGTGACTTGTAAGTTGGGTTATAATTTCCTACTTCAGGCACCAGCGATCCACAACCATTCTTGTTTAATAGCTATTAAGTTTTAGTGTTCAGATATTTTTGTAGATTTGTGGTGAGAAAATAGATAAATTTTTCAATTTCAATTTTCAAATAATTATATCCCTACTAAACAGGATTAGTGTGTATATAAAATTTTATTTAATATTATATTTTTATTTAATTATTTTATATAAAACATTACCTCAACTTTCTCTACCATACATTAAAGTAGGTACTAACAAAGCATTGTGAATTGCCATACGTGCCTTTTTGGCACATTCTGACTTCTCACAATAGGGTGTAGAGCCCCATTCACTCTATTTCCTGCATTCACTTGTCGTTCTATATCCTTATCATATCTACCATCCCTGCTAAACATACATCCCAAATACACAAACTCATCTACTTGCTCGACAAACTCCCCTTCTATTCTTATTTCACATATCGTTTTCCTTTCTTCTCTTTCAAAAACCATAACTTTCGTCTTACTTGCGTTCACTTTCATTCCCTTTTCTTTTGAAAGTTGAGTGTGGCAGAAAAAGCACTAGAGTAGAATAAATGCTGTAGAAATGCGGTCATTAAGGAGTATGATAGGGATGAATGACAGAGCGAGAAATTGTTTGATAAGAGAAGAGTGTGGTTTGCAAGATGATGTTGTGACCAGGATTAAGAAAGGAATGCTTTGGTGGTTTGGTCATATAGAAAGAATGAATGAGGAAAGAGTGACAAAGCAAATTTATGTTGCAGAGGTGAACGGCAGAGTCGGGAAGGGACGCCCTGGACGAAAGTTTATCAACCAAATTGGCGATATATTGAAAATGGACCAAATCAAGAGTACCTTTAACCGACGAGCGTGTATGCGTAGGTATATGGATGTGGAGGAAGCGAGAGAGTTGTGTCAGGATCGTGCCAAATGGAAGTCCATAGTCTCTGCCTACCCCTCTGGGTGACAGGCGTGAATGTTTTATGTATGTATGTTACCCCAACACTAGGATTTTCTCCTGTATCGCGGGGGCAGCATAGATTTCACTAGGACAAACATCCAGACCCAGAACAATTATTCGTAGGCCATACAAATACTTGTTCCGTGCGGTAGATCTTGTGAATGTTTGGGATACCTTGAACTTCGAGAGGGGGCTTTTTTGTACCACTGCATAGGCTTGCTTAACTTAGCCTGATAATGATGAACTCAAGTTTCATCTCTGTAATAAACCTAACCCAACCTCTCTTGTTTCCGCTTCAAAGGTTTTAAAACTCGAAAAAAAAACGCTACGCGTAGATGCTTTTAGTGCGACCACACCATTGACGTGGCAAGACTATCATGCAGAATATTCAAAATGGTTGTTAACGATACTACAACCATTTCTGAGTTTTGTTTTTTTATCACATTTTGAAAAAGGAGATTTTCAATTTGACTATATTTCTTGTCTACATATGGTTACGCGATTTCTACGCAGTGTGAACTGATTTTATTAATCTTTTTTTTTTAATTAAATAGGCTATACATTATGGGTACCCATTAAGACGTGAAATTGCTTAATACACTTAAAAGAATAAAATAATTACCACACAATTTAATTGCTTCTGAATTCGCTGCTAAGACAAAGTAACAAAGAGTTGAAGCCCCGATTTCAGAAACTATTAAATGATTTCGATTTTCTTTTAGTTTTTTTAAGTCTGTAGTCTCCTCTCCTAATCCCCCTGGATGGAGGGGGGTCCTTACCCAGTCATGGTTGTTATGTTATTTTAAACGGGCTGTTTCTTTAAATATTGATTGGCCGTCCCGACTTGGGATTGTCTTTAAAATAATCTGTCTTGGTTATTAGAAAACTTAAATCAATGTTTTCTCGGGGCAAAAGTCCCGTAAGCAAATATACCGAGGACATCTTTTTCAAAATGGTTTGGGAAGATTTTCCCTTTGCCTAGTAACTAAATGGGGGCGAGAAACTATATTAAATAGTCTTCTCGATTTACTTGTTAAAACAAAGATAGCTTAATAAATAATTACGCGATTGTTTTGAAATTTTACGTTAATACTATTAATATGTGTCGCAATAAACACAGGTACAAAAAAGTAAACCAAAAAAAGTTAGGAATCTAGTAAAGTAAGTGAATTTTATAACTTCTAATTACCTTTATCATTGTCATCAGAATCATCAGAGTTCTGTCCGTTCTCGTAGTGGCGACGTATCTCAATGAACACATTGCGGAGGCGCACCGAGTCCTCGTAAATAAGCGACGCCTCTTCGTTGTAAGTCTGCGCGT